TTTTTATCAGCTGTTTGGACTCTCATTCTGACGGCACCCATTCACAGCAGAGGATCCATTGCTGAGCAAGTGATGTAATGCTAAATTTCTCCAAATCTGTTCCAATGAAGAAACAAACTCATCTACATCTTGGATGTCCTGAGGGAGAGTAACTTGTCAGCAAATTTGTATTTTTGGGTGAACTATTCCTTTAAATGTATACATCTAGGTTATGTGTAGGAAATTGTTTTCCCCCATTAAAGTTACCTGATCTCTTCTTCTGGGCTGTGGAAAATCCACTCAACAGGCTGGTGTGTGGGCAGACACCTGTCATCACAGTCAGACAGAGAGAAGTCCATTTTGATCCTCTGATAAGGTTTGTGCTCATATTCCTGTGCAGTAAGAAACATATTTAAAGCATGTTTTGTCACTTTAAACTCTGGTGTCTTTTAATGTTGCTCACCATGTGTGGGTGACACCTCTCTCCTCGATAGCTGCGAACATCTTCCAGATCAAGAGTGGCTGTGACAACCTCCTGCAAGTCAGAAGAAATCTGGTTGATCAAACTAAAATATTCAGCATGTTAATCACAGTCACTGGGGTGAGTTTCATTATTCAAATAAGTGTGAACTGACACATACTACATCCTCAAGTGAGAACTGCGTTCCTCTGGCAACAATATCTCCATTGATGGCAATCATAGCACACCCGTCGTAGTACAGACGGTCTCCATCACAGCCCTTCTGATTGGCAAATAGATAGATCCCTCCACTCTGAAACAAACATATTCTAAATATAAGGCTCATTGTCAACACTATCTTTACAAAGGCCACTTATAATTGGATTCATTCATATGTACTGTAAAATGTTTGGAATAATTAAGATTTTGAAAGAAGTTGTTGAAAGATGTTTTTGAAAAAGTATCTTATTCTCACCAAGGCTGTAGCCTATTTATTTGATCATAAATACAGTGCTAACAGTGATATTGTTAAATGTTATAACAATTTAAAATAACGGTTTTCTATTTTAACATGATTTAAGTCATTCAGAAATATTAATATAATGTATTTACCTTAGTGGTGGCAGATTTGACCAAGTTCACCCTGTGGTCAGCCTTACGTAGCTCATGGTAACTTGCAGAGGAATTGGTAAAGATCTCAATACCATCTAAACCCATGTCAACATGTGGACTAAAGAGAAAAGTAAAAGTTAGTTACATTTTTCAAAGAAAAGCAATTATGGAACTACATTCATGTTTTATTTCACCAGATTATAGCATAACATAAATGTCTAAATGTCTAAATGTTCTCTGCAGGAGATTAGGAAAGGATTAAAGGAACAGCCTAGTAAGATTTCGTTAAAAAACAATAATTTGACATTCATACAGTATTTATGAGATCATTGTTTGCAGAGCATTACCTCCTGGGGTTCCACAGCTCAGCACAAATCTCACTCCCTATGCAGGTGTCCTTGGTGGACAGCACCCCATCTCCAAACGGAACTGTGGTCTATCAATGAGGACAGCTGAGCTTATTATTTATGCCAAATAATGTGTCGTTGCAAATATACATATATAGAATAAGAATAATTAAAGGGGTCATATGATGCGATTTCAAGTTTTCCTTTCTCTTTGGAGTGTTACAAGCTGTTCGTGAATAGATAAGATCCCTGAAGTTGCAAAGACTAAAGTCTCAAAACCAAAGAGATATTCTTTATCAAAGTTAAGACTCTGACCCCCCTAAAATATTCTTTATCAAAGTTAAGACTCCGACCCCCCCAAAACGGCTCGTTCTAACACGCCCCCACATATCTAAGACAGCGTCACATCACAGTAGAGTCAGCTGTCTTAACCATGGCTTGTGTACTGCATCATTACTGTGTCTGTTCCCCTTTCGGGCTTGAACTGATGGTAAAACTAATGACATTATTTACTGTCTTTACATTTATTTTGAAAGATGAAGCTCGCGATTATGTTAAGGTGCGTTACATTTCCGACGAGTGCTTGCGGTGTTCGGCCAATCACAATGCACTGGGTCAGCTGGCCAATCAGAGCAGACTGCGCTTGTCGGAAGGAGGGACTTTGTAGAAAACGAAGCGTTTGAGAGAGGCGGAGCATATAGGACCTACAATAATGTACAGTATTTGAAAAATAATGTGTTTTTTGAACATTAAAGCATGTCAACATATTCTGTTATACAAAATACACAAAATAATGATCTTTAAAAAAGCATCATATGACCCCTTTAAGAGTATATTTATTTTTGGTACTTAATTATTAATAATGGTTCTTATTATCATCAATGTTGAAAACAGTTTTTGCTGCTAAATATTTCTGGATTATTTCTCTGTCAGGATTCTTTCATGAACAGATATTCAAAAGAAATAGAACACTTTTCTAACATTATAAATGTCTTTACTTTTGATCAATTTAATGCATCCTTTCTGAACAGAAGTATTAATTTATTTAATTCCTTTTTTTTTGGTTTTTATCTTACTTATACCAAACTTTTGAATGGCTGTATATCACGGTTTCCACAAAAATATTAGTTTTTTTTTTTTGTTAGTTTTTTTTGTGAAAAAGTTTTTTGAGCTGGTTTCATGAGCACCAAACCAAAGAACCATTATTAATAATTACATACCACTAATAATTGTGCTTTATAATTAGATATTACAAGATAATATTATTTTACCTGCCCTGTCAGATCTTGTATCATTCTGGGTAAAAAGTACTCCTCAACATATCTGCAACGCAATTTATTTCATATGTGATCTATCATTTATCACTGACTATTAAAGACTTTGCTAGGCAAATGACCCCAAGATTTAACCAACAGATCATGGAATATACCTGGGTCGACTCCAGGGTGAAAACCATCGAAATTCCCTGTTGTTGCCATAATTAGCCAAGAGCATTTTAGGACGAATTAACAGTATCTTTCTGTCAAATATAAAAATAGACATATAATTAGATATATAATAAGATATGATTATACATATTTTTTGCATTATTGTAATTATCTGATTATTAAGCAGTAATACAAATGCTTTATAATGCTGTACTATAGTAATATCTTACTTGTTCAAGAAAATGACTCTGCAGTTGTATCGAACATTGTGATGCATCACAGGCCTGTGGACAGAGCAGATGAAAGTGAAGTTAAATGCATTAGAAACCATACACTTGTTTTTCTATTTCCTCATTTTTTAAACAATACCACCTACATTCCCACATCACAGATGATGTCTTGGGTCAAAGGAGATTCCAAGAGCGACTTCAGAACCTGGAAACAATGGAGCAGGATGTCTGACTCGTAGAAATGGTCCGCACAGCCGTACCCACTGATGTATATGAAAGATTTGTGAAGGACCACAAATACAGTATAATCAGTTTTCAACATTTTTACAACAATTTTAGTAACTAACTCGTATGTATCATAAATTAAATGTATCATACCCGTATGTATCATAAATTAAATTAAATTATGTATATATATATATATATACATACATACATACATACATACACTGCGTGTCTGCATGTATTCTCAGTTGTACAAATGCATCACATATTCGTTAAATATCTAGTCTGTGAGTGACAATATTACCAGATTTCTAGCTCTGGTCCCAGTCTGTACTTGGCTCCTCTCTGTTTGGCAATCTCAATGCCTGTTTTGGAGAATAAAGTAGAACTAAAATGATACGAGGTCACTTTAAGATCATAAGACCTTTAGTAATGTTAGTTACTGCTACTACTGGTTACAAATTGCAGGTGAAGAATCAGAACTTACTTTTAAGTATTCTTGTCAAGTTGCCTTGAAAATCCAGTGCCCACTGATTCAAGGAGCAAGTCGCCAATGTAACCTTGCGACCCATTTTGCACAGCTACAAATTATTTAAAATGTATCAAAACAACTCTGCACCTGACAGTAGTCGTGCAACTGTAAGTTACTCAAAACTTTTATTTACTGTAGTTCCGTTTCCGGTCTGTACAATTCTGCACTTCAAAGTAAAAGTAATGGTTTAGCGGAAGGAAAACTATTTAAAACTCCGAATGTACTGTAGTTGAAACATATTTGCATTAAACAAAGACGGTACAAATATTGAGGTTAAACATTCTGTGACAAACAACATGCAATCTTTTCTATCCAGACCCATAATTAAACTAAACTACCAACACCATCAAATAGTTTTTCAACGTATTAAAATTTTTAAATAATCCGTCTGTAAGAATAAACACACAAGGAGTCAAACTGTTTTTTTTTTCAATACTAAAATAAATTTTAAATAAATTAAAAATGCATCAATAATAAATGTAATAATACGTTTCTTTATAAGATGCTATTTCTTTTATGTTTTTGATGGCAATTATACACTGATTATTAGCTTTTAATAATAAGTGAGATGTTTTATCTACAAATTTGCCAGTGGACTAAGTAAAGGTTTTACGTGTGTTTATGAAAAGGTTGATATGACGCGTTTAACGGTCATCAGCATCGTAAATCCTCGAAAGTTGTTCATGTTTGTTTTTTTTTGTTTTTTTAAATGTATGTACATTAATGCAGTGTCTATGGGAGGGACGGTAAATTTGACATCGTTCTCTCTTCTGACAGCCGTTATCAGTCTCTCTCATTTTTTTAATTTTATTGAAATTCATGAAAACACTACCATGGAGTTTTTCTTTTGCTATTTGAGCAAATGGGATTGCAAAAAATATATTTGTGGTACTCTCCCATTCACTGCTATTCAAGTTAACCCAACTATGACGACTTCCACTGCAGATACATTTTTTATAAATTCGTGTGCTATACTGGCGAATTGCAATTTATCATGCATTTTTCATTTCTAATGCTCCAATGTAAATGCGTTAGTGTGGTGCAGATGGATGCTCTTGACGAAGACAGCAGGATCCATGGGCTGAGCTCATCAGGCGCTCATGGCTTCAGGTCTCGGTTGACCAATCACTGACACGAGTATGTATTTCATCTGTCTCTGATTGGATGTACGTCGCTTGTGGGCGGGGTTAGAACTCGGCCAGAGACTCCCCTTTGCTCGTTACATCACTGTGAACATCTGGGCAGCGTGAAGTGGCGCAGCATCAGCCCCTATAACTGTAAGCGTTTTGTGATATTTCACTTTTTAAACAGTTGTTTTTATGCATTACCTTTTGCCACGTGTTATAATGTTATATAAGTCAATCTTTCCAGCATTATGCATTGCATGTACAGCTTATTAAAATCTATGCGTTTATTGTGCAGCACTTCCCTTTCTAATCCAACTACAAGATGCAACTTTATCAACAGAATATAATGATGATTTGACGTGTGGCATGACTGCATTGTAAACTATACACTTCCACTCATGTTTAGTACGTTAACTCAAAGATTCGTGGAAAAAATATAAACGCTGGACTCTGTGGTCGATTTTGTGTTAAAGTAAGGCATGTTATTTGCAATTATGTGTTGTGGCTG